ACACACATACACACACACATACACACACACACTCTCACACACACACACTCACACACACACATACACGCACACCCACACACGCACACATATACTCACACACACACGCGCACACACACACACTCACTCACTCACACACACACCCGCTCCCGGAATGCGGCTCAATGGGAGGGGGAACTCGGTGCTTTTTCCCTGGGATCTGCTTCATCTTGGCATTAGCCCTCGGGTTTCGACCAGCGTTTCCAATGCACAAGGACTAGTTTTCCAGAAGCAAACCTGCCCAGAGCTCTGAAAATCGGCTCACTCAAATTGGAAAGTTTCTCCTGAAATGAGAACTTACGGGAACGTTCTAAGCCCCGGTTCCTTGCTGCCCTCTCCACCCCCGTTATCCCACTCCGGAAAGGGGGCGGATGAGGGAGCGCCGGTGCAGCCTGGCGTGTTCAGGCCCTGCTCCGCCCTCTGCTGCCGGGATGGGCTGGTTGAATGTTGGAGCGTGTGAGGCCCAGTGTGTAAGTTTCAGGAGCACCTGAGGTAAAACTGCTCCGTGTTTGGCCTGAACAGAACTCACTTTCCTGGCAGCTTTTTTGTGTAACTTTTTTTGAGGCCCATGACTGCTCATTAGTAACCGCTCCAGGCAAACACGCAAGTCATTTGTATCCAAACGCTGCAGTTGACTCAGTTACTCTTTTTAAAAAATTGTTTTTCAACAACAATGTGTGAGAGAAATAGAGGAACATGGATAGGTTGTTCCACTTATTTATGCATTCATTGGTTGATGCTTACACGTGCCCTGATGGGACCAAACCCACGACCTCGGTGTATCTTGGTTTTGCAGGATTATGCTCTAACCAATGGACTACCCAGCCAGGGCTGCTAAGTTCCTATCGGATGGTTTTAGGCCATTGAGAAGGGAAACGGTTAAGGGCAAGGAAAGAAGCAGAAAGGCACGCTGGTCACCTGGGGCCTGGCCGTTCTCACTCTGTGGATGGCATTGTCATCCTGGTTGGCAGACTGCACCTGGGGTGTGTCTGACCCTCCCCCGGCCAGAGCAGGGAGCCTGGTTTTGTTTCTTGTTGCTCCCCGTTGGAGGCCAGGAGGCTCTTGGGGAGAGTTCTCACTACTGTTGCCTCCCATCGAATTTCTGGGGGTTTTGGCGATGATCCCCATTTTACAGCTGGAGAAAAGGCCCTCGGCAGTAAAGCGAAAGCCTGTAGCAGCGGTCGGCAAACTCATTAGTCCACAGAGCCAAACATCAACAGTACAACGATTGGAATTTCTTTTGAGAGCCACATTTTTTTAAACTTAAACTCCTTCTAACACCACTTCTTCAAAATAGACTCGCCCAGGCCGTGGTATTTTGTGGAAGAGCCACACTCAAGGGGCCAAAGAGCCGCAGGTGGCTCGTGAGCCGCAGTTTGCCGACCACTGGCCTAGGGCTAGGGAGTTAGAGGGTTACTCTCCTGTGCTCTCTAGGCCCAGTTTTAAACCCCCTCTGGGGCTGGGGTGGGGGGGGCTTTTAACCATCTCAGCATCATTTCCCGTTGCTTTTCCATCTGTGTGGGAGGAAGGTCGGGAAGCTGTCGATGAGCTAGCTTAGTTGTTCCTTGGCATTTTCTGCCTAGAGGTTAATTGTCTGGTAGCCGTTCCAGGAAGCTAGCGAGAAAAGTCCCTGGACTCCTGACGCTGCTGGTTTCACAGTAAGGCCCTTTAGCGGTGGCACTGTCGGTTGCGTAACAGTGGAGCTAACGTTTCTCGGGTGCTTGCTGGGCGCCAAGCTTCTCCACACGGAGCGTCCCCTTTTGTTCTGATCGGTGTGCTGTCCCCTCCGAGGGGAAGCACGGGCGGGAGGCTAAGCCATGTGCCAGGTCACACAGCTGCTGTGCAGCCGAGCCGGGACTGGAACCCCGAGTTCTCACACTTCAGAAACTGGAGGCACCTTCCTTTTTTTTGTGTGTTTTTTTAAAATATATTTTATTGATTTTTTACAGAGAGGAAGGAAGAGGGATAGAGAGCTAGAAATGTTGATGAGAGAGAAACATCAACCAGCTGCCTCTTGCACACCCCCTACTGGGGATGTGCCCGCAACCAATGTACATGCCCTTGACCAGAATCGAACCTGGGACCTTTCAGTCCACAGACCGACGCTCTACCACTGAGCCAAACCGGCTTCGGCACCTTCCTGGTTTTAACAGAGCAACTCAGGCTGAAACACAAGGCTTTCCTGACGTCAGGGGGAAGGAGGAGGGTGAATCAGGGCCAGGCAGAGGGGCCAAGGCTGATCACAGCGCCCGGTGCTCGGGGCTGCTTGACCTTGCACTGTGGAGCTGCCTCCCGGTGTGGGTGGCAGATGCTGGAGAAATGCCATATAATTCACTTGTGTCCTGGCTGTGAGAGGAGCAAGCTCCGTGTCCACCCTAATACAGTGTACACGTGTCGCCATTGGGACTGGAGTCACGCATTTTTACAGGTGGGAGGGAGGTAGGGCTGGAGCCAGGCTGCCTGGATTCAGATCCTGTCACCTCTGACCTGCCTGACCTTCTAAGTTACTTCACCTCTCCCCGCCTTGACTTCCTCTCTCTGCATTCTAGAAACAGGGACAGTCAGTACTTCTTAGGTTGTGGTGTGATACATGTCCAGCTCTCAGCCTAGCATCGGACATATGATTAAATACTCTATAAAGATCTCTTTTATTATTCATAGTATTGGCACAAGTAGTAAGTTGCTGCTAGTGTGTGCCGTGCCACGGTGCTGGATGTCACCGCTGGAGACTTGTTCCTGCGTGCCATCGCTCACGCAGAGAGCTCACACACAGGCGGCGGTGGTCTCCTGCCAGTGGGTTTACTTGTTCATTCGGCAGATGTTTATGGCCCGCCCTCTGAGTGCCAGGCCCCTGTTTTGGATACAGGAGACATGCATTGAGCTGCCACGGAAACCTCTGTCCCCACCCACACGTATGTTCTTGTGAGGGGAGGGGTGACAGACAAGCCTCCTATTAATAAAAGGCTAATATGCAAATTGACCGAACAGTGGAACAGCCGGTTGCTTGACACTCACTAACCACCAGAGGGCAGACGCTCAACGCAGGAGCTGCTCCCGGTGGTCAGTGCGCTCCCACAGAGGGAATGCCGCTCAGCCACAGGCTCACAGCTGGCGAGCACAGCTGTGAGGACGGGAGCCTCTTCCACCTCTGCAGCAGCGCTAAGGATGTCCGACTGCCGGCTTAGGCCTGCTCCCCAGTGTCAGTCGAAGGCTGACATCCCCCAAAGGCTCCCAGACTGCGAGAGGGCTCAGGCCAGGCTGAGAGGAACCCTCCCCACCCCCACAGTGCATGAATTTTGTGCACCAGGCCTCTAATTAAATAGCGACATGTACCGTGGAGAGGAATGAAACGGGTTGACTTGGGGACGAGAGGTTTCCGGTTTTACAGAGTCGGCCGAGAAAGCCTCACTGAGGTGGCATTTCAGCCGAGAATCGAAGTTGCTGAGGGGTGAACCAGGTAGATATCTTTGGAAGAAGCAGGTGAGGCCGAGGGACCAGCAGGGACAGAGACTCGGGGGCAGGAGTGGCTGGAGCCTCGATGGGGCAGGGGAGCCAGGGAAGAGATCAAAGAGCTAACAGCTAGGAGGCCAGAACGTTAGACCCTGCAGGCTGCGGAACAGAGAACACGGTGACCTGACCGTCTGTAAAAGGTCTCTCTGCCTGCTGCGTTCCGGGGAAGAGGGAAGCGGGAGGCCAATTAGCAGGTCTCTGAGCAGCCCAGACAGGTGCCGGGGGCGGCCAGGCCAGCGTGGCGCTGGGAGGTGAGAGAGGTGGGTGTTTTTACAGAACTGTCGGATTTGCTGACTCATTGATGACTCGAAGTTTGTCGGCCTGAGCACGGGAAGGCTAGAGATGCCTCTTACTGAGAACGGGGACATGTGCATTGGAGCAGGCTGGGAGAAAGTTCGTTTGATTTTCAGCGTGGGAAGTCTTGTAGACAACAGCTAATGGTGTCAGAGTAGCAGGTGGTTGTCTGAGCATGCAGGCTAGGGGGAGAAAGTCCAGCCTGGAAACGGCCTTGGCAGAGCAGGCCGGGCATGCTGGTAAATGTGTAACAACCCCCCGGGCAGGGGTGCAGGCTGGTGGGGAGCTGGTGTGTGGTGTTGGCCAATGTCTGCTGTGTAAACACTGCTGGCTGGCTAGGCTCAGGCACTTGCTACAGAATATTTTCCCTTACAGATGCAACAGTGGAACTATTGTCAAGAGTAAAATGCAGTCTCGCCTGTGTTTTTACTATAATTGGTTTAGTTCTAAGTTTGTATCATCCCGTTATTAACAATGCTTGTGCTTAACAAGTGGCTTGAAAAATTCCTGGAAGCTTAGCATTGAATCTTGTGTGGAGGCACAAGGGGGCTCCGTCCAGCACAGCGTTTGGGTCATGGGGACCCCAGATTGGTACCTAAAGAGGTGATGGGGATCAGGATCTCCGAGAGGAGGAAAAATGGCCCGAGTTTACCGTGTTTGGGGGAGAAGGAGAGGGGGGGTTGGGGGAAGGGGGCACAGACGGTCCCCCAAGCAGGAAAGAGTGCAGGGAAAATTGAGTTGGCACTCACAGAAGGGACTGGGCACGGCCCTTTGTACTTAAGTTGAAAAGGATCTTTAGTTTCATTTGTTTTCCTTTTAAAGATTCCAAAGTTTCTGGGCTGTGGTTTGAGAAAACCTTCCTTCTTCCTGCCTGGCACACAGAAAGCGGGCGCCCAGGGTGTGGGTACCGGCAGAGGTGTGGGTGCCATGCTGTGCTGGGGAGGGCAGGGCAGCAGCCGCCTCTGGCCTTTATCTCCTGCTCCTCTCCCGCCCTCAGCTGCTGGGCCCAGGGGACCAGAGCCGCTTCCTCCCGGGCTTTACAGACACGCCGAGCGCAGCACGTGCCCCACAGCCGCCTCTTTTGCTTGGGCAAAAGCAAGGACTGGAACCTCCCCGATTCTGACCCAAACCCTCTGGCCGGCCATTGCCCACAGGTTGCGATGTTAGCAGAGCTGTGCTGTGAAAGGTGAGTCCCCAGGATTCCTGTAGACCCCTCAGTCTGGAGCTGGGGTGCCTGGGCCCTGGGCAGGTGCCCGGTCAGCCCCAAAGCCCCAATTAGCCGCCAGAGGGCCTCCTGCCACCTCCGCACCCCTCCAGGAGGCCTCGGCCTGCCCTGTGCTGTGCAGTGTGTTTCTGGCTAGTGTCTTGAATAATAATTGTTGTAAATGAACTTGCATTTTCTGCGCATGTAACTTACAGCTTCATAGAGTTTTGTCTTAATTTCTGAATGACACTCATTGCTTCATATTTTATTATTATTATGTTTTTATTGCTTCATATTTTAGTTCTGCATTTCCACCTGCTCCTTTGGCCTCGGGCTGTGTTTCTCTGTTAATAGATGGTCATCTTCTTTCCGTGGAGAGCGTAGGAGCTGAGGACCAGAGAGTGTGGTGGTCCTGGAGCTCAGACCTCATGTCCTGGATGGGACGCTGGGGCCTAGCCCGGGTAGAAGTCTCGTTCAAGGTGGTGTGGGCGTTTAGCAGCCGGGCCCGGGCAAGAATCACCACGTGTTCCAACTCAGTCCGCTATCCCGTCCGTCCTGCCCTGTGGCTTCTCGACCTTTTCACTGAGGGTTTTCTTGTTTACTAATGATAAAGAGAAGAGATTCAGAGCAGGGTCAGCGGTCAGAACGCCCCCTCCATGCTCTCACGTGAGCTTCAGGATGTAGCTTTAGATTTCCTCCCCAGCCCGTCCCGCTCAGAGCGGGGGAGGAGGCAGGAGGAGGAGCTTCAGCGGAACCTCCCCAAGGAGAGCCCTGAGCAGAGCCGGCTCAGGCCACAGGCGTGCGGGGCCGCTGGGGGGGGCCCTGCTTTCCATTGAGGAGACGGGACCCTCACTGCTGAGGGGACTTACTGTGTGCCACGCCAGGGTCGTGTGGCTGAGCCCGAGGTGGCTTTGAGCCAGTCCTCTGATTGAAATGCCACGCTCTGTCTACACAGACGGAGGCTCAGGCTGTGTGGCCCCTCAGCTGCCGCACCTGCAGTTTCCTCCGCTGTCAGAGGGCCTCGGCGCCGAGCCTCCTCCACAGGCGCCGGGGGGAGGGCAGGCACTCAGCCCTCCGCACACACTGCCAGCTCGGGCACCTTGGGCGTTAGCGTCAGGCTCGGGGGGTCGGCAGCCGGCTGGACAGGCAGGTCTGAGCTGCCGTGGATGCCGAGGTGCCCATCGGTGGTGAAGGGAGCAGGAGGCAGGTGTGTGTGTTTGGACCTGCGGCCCCTCTGCCCAGAGCTGCCGCTCTAGACTCCGTATCCCGAGTCTGGCTATCTATCCTAATGTGCTCTCGGGCCCCTCCCTGGCCCTCTGCACCAGAATCTGCATTTTAAAAAAATCCTCAGGAGACCCAGATGCATATTAAAGTTTGAGAAACACTGGTAAGGTTAAGCAAACATGGCAATAAGCAAATCCAAACACACACACACACACACACCGCCCACACTGGTTCAGGGAGGAGCTGTTCCCGGGCGTTTAGCAACCACAGAGTAAGCAGACTTGCTGCAATCACGGGTAGCTCTGATCTGTGCTTGTTTCACAGAGTCCTGGGGACATACACTGAGGTAAGGGGGCAAACTGGAAACCGGGCTGGTCAGGGGAGGCTGCAGCAAGAGCCCTGAGTCAGAACCGGGTTACAAAGGGGCCTGGGAGGCGGGCAGCCCGGGCCATCCATCGCAGCTCTCTGCAGTCTTCTGGGGCCGGGCCGGCGGTTCTGGTCCGTGGGCTCCCTCACCTGCCCACCCAGGCTCCGAGGTTCTTGAGCTCCTTCCCCCGCGTGTACTGGCACATCCAGAACCCTGGCCGCTGCTCGAATCAGGAGCCCCGAGACGCAGCCTGCCAGCTGGCAGCTGCTGGCTTCACCTTCCTCCTGCTCTGACCTTGCAGCTCTTCCTCCCTCCCCACAGAGCATGGCCACTTAGGAAGGAAATGCTTGAAGGGCCAGGGCCAGGAGCTGAGAGCAGGAATGGAGGGGCCTGTGGCTCCTCTGCATTGGGGAGGGGGGGTGCAGGGGAAGGAGAGGGGAGCCCCTGGTCCTCCAGTTAAAGCTGCAATAGGGGAATGTCGGTGTCCTGTGCACGCTGGTGCTGACACTGTGGTTGGATCCTCCTCTTGGTTTGGCTGCTAACGGTGCCGTCTCGGGGATGGGTCCCCAGAGATGAGGACAAGCACAGGGCAAGTGGAGGAGGGGGTCAGATGCCTGAGTCAGGGGGCAGATCCCGGGCCTGGATCCAGGGGCGATGCAGCCTGTGGAAGGTTGGCTGGCCGGGGCTGCAGGGCTTCTGTCACTTCCTGTGACTTCTTTAAGCCTCAGTTTCCCTATCTGTAGACCAGATTACAGACTCGTGGTGGAGGATTCCCTTCATTTTTTTTTAATATATTTTATTGATTTTGTACAGAGAGGAAGGGAGAGAGATAGCAAGTTAGAAACATCGATGAGAGAGTCATCGATCAGCTGCCTCTTGCACACCCCCTACTGGGGATGTGCCTGCAACCACGGTACATGCCCTTGACCGGAATCGAACCCGGGACCCTTCAGTCCCCAAGCCGATGCTCTATCCACTGAGCCAAACTGGTTTCGGCTCCCTTCATTTTTTATCTGCCTGCCATAATAGGTGTTGATCGGTCATTCTAGTTCCAAATAAATATTTACATGGTATTAATTTCAGAGAGGAAGGGCGAGGAGGAGAGAAGAGAAACGTCAATGATGAGAGAGAATCATTGGTCAGCTACCTCCCACAGGGCACGCACCAGGGACCTAGTCCACAACCTGGGCAAGTGCCCTAATTGGGAATCGAACTGTGACCTTCTGGTTCATAGGTCAATGCTCCACCACTGAGCCTCACGGCTGGGCCCAGTTCCTTCCTCATTAGCACACCCAGGCTGGACCCCTTCCCCCACCTGTTTCTGAGACCCAGCTGCTGGCCCGACTCCCTCCCTCCCTCCCTCCCTCCCTCCCTCCCTCCCTCCCTCCCTCCCTCCCTCCCTCCCTTCCTTCCTTCCTTCCTTCCTTCCTTCCTCACTCCTGCCTCTCCCTCGGAGCGAGGCCCTGGCGGAAATGGAAGGATGGGGAGCCTGGGAGTAAAATTGAGCCTGAAGAGCCTTACAACCTCGGTTCGAACAGAGGCCAGAGAAGTCGACTCCCCTGGTGCGTTTGTGGCAGGTCCGAGGCCTCGCGCCCTTCATACGTGTCAGCTGCTCCAACCGGCCAAGTGGTAGGCCCGCCTGGGGGAGGCCGCAGCGTGCCGTTGCTGTGCGGTTAGCTCAGAGCCAGCGGCTGGTGCCCTTCCGGCCCCCCCACCTCTCACCTGGGGACCTTCAGTGCCTGGGCTCTCCTACCTGCAGGAGGGCGACCAGGTGGGACCCACCACTGGGTCTCAGGTTCCCGTCCGCATTCCGTGAGACCTAATGCTCACGGGCATCACGTTCATGCTTGGAACGTGTTAGCATTCAGTGTTTGCTGCTCTTACTAATATATCACGGTAATTATACAGCCCTGTCCCCGCACGATATAAACACTACCTCACTGTAATCTTGTAACAACCCTATGCTGTAGGAACCGCTAATACCCCATTGCAAGTGAGGAACCGAGGAACAGAGGTCGCATAACTGTCCACGGTGAGGGCTTGCGCTGAGATTTGAACTCAACCCTTTGGTTCTGGTCTGTGCTTTTATCACCCGGTGTATTCGCTGTGTGCTGGAGCCAGTGCACTGGGAGAAGCCAGGGGCGAGGTGAGAGGAGTGGCATCTCTCACAGCTCCAGCCACCAGCTAAGGCCCTGCCACCTTCCCGAGCTGAGACTGGCTGTGGCCATGAGGTGGACAGCTCCGATCCCATGGCGGCCCTGAGGCCTCCCTCATGGCTGTGCCACCTTCCCATGTTCCTGGAGCAAAACGTCCCTCCTCTGCCCGGGGCTGCCCCCTTCCCGGCAGAGTCCTGTTGACAGAGCACACTGCCGACCCGCCGGCTTCCTGGCACTAACACAAGCTGCCAGGAGGGGGGGGGGAGCTGGGACTAGTGGTTTCCTGAGAAACACGTGGCTGTTTCTTGCCAGGCAGGAAATGTTCGATAGCCTGGAATCGTGTTCGCCTGCATCACGCCACCTGAGCGTGTCTGATCCTTCCTTGTTCTGTGTGTCTCTCAGGCGCCCGGGCTTCTGGAGGATGCTCCTGGTGGCAGTGTGCATGGCCCTTCTGGGCTGCCTGCGGGCCCAGGGCCTCCAGGGACACATCTCCGTGGTCCTGCTGGGGGCCACGGGGGACCTGGCCAAGAAGTACCTGTGGCAGGGGCTGTTCCAGCTGTACCTGGAGGAGGCGGGGAAGGGCCACAATTTCAGCTTCCACGGGGGCGCTCTGACGGCCACCGAGCAGGGCCAGGAGGCCGTGACCAAGATCCTGGAGGCCCTTTCCTGCCCCAAGGATGTGCCGCCCGACCGCTGTGCCGAGCTCAAGGGCCAGTTCCAGCGGCTGAGCCGGTACCACCAGCTGAAGACCACGGAGGACTACGCGGCCCTGAGCAAGGACATTGGGGCGCTGGTGCAGCGCGAGGGCCTCTGGGAGGCAGGCCGCATCTTCTACTTCTCCGTGCCGCCCTTCGCCTACGCGGACATCGCCCGCAGCGTCAATGGCAGCTGCCGCCCCGGCCCCGGCGCCTGGCTGCGCGTCGTCCTGGAGAAGCCCTTCGGCCACAACCACCAGTCAGCGCAGCAGCTGGCCGCGGACCTCGGCAGCTTTTTCCACGAGGAGGAGATGTACCGGGTGGACCACTACCTGGGCAAGCAGGTGAGCCTGCCAGGCCGGAGCGAGCTGGGGCCACAACACTGACTGTGGGGTTGGCCTGAAGCTGTGGGAGACATGGCTCCGTGGTCGTTTTGAAGCTGGGCGCGAGGTGAGAGGGCGAAGAGCAGAAGGTGAGCCGGTCTGTGTGGCCCTTGTCCACGTGCCCTGCCCTGTTTCCCAGCAGCGGCCGGGCTCTGATCTGTCAGTGGGGCCCCGTGCCCCCTCCGGAGGTGGCCCTGGGACACTGGGGTCTGAGCCCGGCTTCCGGCTGGGTGTGCTGTAGGAATTAGAATTGATACCTTATTCCACCCCCAGTGGCCTGGTTTTCAGTATTTTTTCTTCCTGGGTTCCAATCTTAGAACAGAATAGGGACCCAAGACCCCTGCTTCTCAGTTGGGCCCCGTGGCAGAGCGTGGGGCTGACCCGAGGGACACACCTTAGCTGTCTGCACCCTCGGAGCCCCATTAGGACACTCCCCCCCCCCCCCCCCGAAACGCCTGCAGAGAGTGCGCCTGCGTGCCCGGTGCTGACCGGCGGCGAGCCCAGGCCTCAGGCGTGGCTCTCCGTCCGGCCCCATTGAGTGTCAGTATTCCCAGAGTGGCCCTCAGCCAGGCCGGCCCCGGGGAGATTTCACTTGCTTATGAGAAAATGAAAAAAATAACACTGAATGTCAAGCTGAAGCTTTCCTTATTCCATTTTTGGTGTTACAGTATCTTTCTGATACTTCATGTTGATGGTAAGAGGCAAAAGATCATCTTCACTATTTCCTTTCCTGACAAACTAAAAGGTTGGCGGCCCTGTGGCGGTCACCTGAAGGTTGGAGTCCTTCCTGGGCGGGAAGCCTGACGGCCAGAGCCATCGCTCTGGTGGCCTCTCAGAGTCGGGAAGAGAGGGTGGGGCCCTCCTGGGAGCCAGGCCCCCTCCTCGGTCCCGAGGAGACCCCGCAGCACCCCGTCTGCTTCCCCGCCAGGCCGTGGCCCAGATCCTGCCTTTCCGAGACCAGAACCGCAAGGCCCTGGACGGCCTGTGGAGCCGGCACCACGTGGAGCGGGTGGAGATCGTGGTGAAGGAGACGGTGGACGCCGAAGGTGCGTGAAGGGTCCCGCTCTCGCCTCCTCGTCCTCCCGCCCGGTGTCCGCTGGGCGCTGCCTCCCAGTGCCTCGCAGAGGGTGCTGTTGCTGGTGTGTGGACCGCTAGCCCCCAGGGCCCTGCAGGCAGACCTGAGTGGTCAGCGCTTCCCTCAGGTCAGCGTGGCTCTGATGCTGAGCGGTTGGCCAGCAGTAAGTGCCAGAAGGTACCCCGAGTTCCCTGGGGGTGGGGGGGACAGTTGGGTCGCGTGAGGCTTCCTCAGACTTTTGTACTCGTCCAAGTGGCCACCTCTGCCTGGTGCCGTCCGGCTCCCCCACCTATCACCTGGGGACCTTCAGTGCTCGGCTCTCCTACCTGCAGGAGGGCGACCAGGTGGGACCCACCACTGGTCTTCTCACTCCTGTCCGCATTCCGTGAGACCTAATGCTCATGCGCATCACGTTCATGCTTGGAACATGTTAGCTTTCAGTGTTTGCTGCTCTTACTAATATTCCACAATAATTATACAGCCCTGTCCCCGGCACAATGTAAGCATTAACTCACTTTAATCTTATAACAGCCCTATGATGTAGGAACCTCATTGCAAGTGAGGAACCGAGGCCCGCCCTGCCCCGCACTGTGTGCCTGGGTGGAGCAGGACCGGACCCTCGGGCCTGGGTGGGGGACGAGGGGGTCTGTCCCTTGCTCTCTGCCTTCTCCTCTTTTTCCTTCTCTCCCCTGGTTGCTCTCTGCCTTCTCCTCCTTTTCCATCTCTCCCCTGGTTGCTCTCTCCAGTTTGCTCTCCCTCCTCTTTGGATGTGTATACAGAGCTAGATCTGGTGACACGGGGAGCAGTGAGATGCAGCCTCTGTCCCCCAATACCTCACACATTCATGGGGGGAGAGAGTATATGGGGACAGACTCCAATCTGGATGAGGCAGGCAGGGGTGCCGTGGGCAGGGGCATCGGGCAGCCCTTGGGAACCAGGCCGAAGGGCACTGCCGTCCTTCAGAGGAGCCGGGTTTCTCCAGCCCGGACCCCATCAGAAGAGAGGTCCCCATGCAGTGAGCTTTCCGGGGTCTCGGGATCCCCCCAGCCCTGCCGGATCCCCCTGCTGTCCTTAGCGAGGGCTTAGGCCAGGGCTCCCTCCTGGGCCTGTGTGTCTGATGTCCTGGCGGCATGAGGGCGGGGCCTCCGCTTGCTCTGTCTGCAGAGGATGCTCGCAGGCCCTGTGCCGGGGCGGGAGGGCGGGCCGAGGGCGGCAGGATGAGAAGCCGGCCACACCTGCTGTGGGACCAGCACTGCCCTGCTCTGCCTGGAATGGCCTGCTCGCCGCAGGGCTAGGGCGCAGGACTCCCCTCCTCCACGCTGTCTGGCAGCTGCTGCAGTGCCTGCGCCAGGCTGGGGAAGAGCCGCGCTGTCTGCAGGTCCCAGTGGGCGCCATGGCCTCTCATTTCGGGGCCCCGTTGTCATTTGTGGGTTTCTTTGCAGGATCCCCATGGAGCCAGGGCCTAGACAAAGGGCAACATTCTAAAGGAAGTGAGTTCTCTGTCTCTGTGTCTCTCTCTCGCTGTCTCTCTGTCTCTCTCCTCTGTGTGTGTGTCTCTGTCTTTCTCTGTCTCTCTCTCCCTCCGACCCCACTGGGACTTAGAACACGCATTCTTCACATCCAGGAAGCGGCCTGTGCAGCTCTGGTGCCCCGAGCACTGGCCTCGCTGTCCCCTCTGGGTCCTGCTTTGGAGCCCGGACCCTGCAGCTCCCCCACCATGGCCAGGAAGCCCCGTGTGCAGCATGTCAGGGCCTCGGCTCACCTTCTCCGGGTTGGGTAGGAAACAGGCAGGGCAGTCTTTTCCCTGCTGCTGGGGTTCACCGCCCGCTGCCAGGGGTCACCGCCCGCTGCCATGGGGCTGAGCGTGGCCAGCAGGCAGCTCTGAGCCCGGCGCTCTGCTCTGACCATTAAGCCAGAGGGCGAAGTAGGGCCTTCTCCCTGTAGCACCCCAGCACTCAGCCCCCAGCTTTCTCCTTCCGCAGGTGCTCAGCCCTCACTGAGTCCTGTGAGGGAGGCAGGGTGGGTCCCTGGTGGCAGCCTGGACTCTCACCCGAGTGCTGGCAGGGGCGGGGCTTTGAGCTGTTCTGGCCTGAGCAGCTGCAGGCCCGGGGGAGGGACTTGTGAGCTGCAAGGTCATTAGGATGTCCCCACCCCACTCACATCCACGGGGACGGGGCTGGCTGCCCCAGCTCCCTCCCTCCACGGCTGCGGTGTTTTATTCTTCCTTTTCTGCCTCAGCTTCTGGCCCAGAGGAGTTTGCTGCAGCGTCAAGGCCGCTGCATAGACAGCAGGGAGGGGGTGGAGGGAGGGAGAGGGAGAGGGAGAGAGACGCTGAGAGAGACAGACGGGGGAGGAGGGGAGGGAGACACAGTCCTCCTCCAGCTGCAGTGCAGCTCCCTCTTCTCATGCGGGTGCCCTCCTGAGGGGTCCCCATCCAGTGAGCCCCTGAGAGTCACCCCCGACACCGCCCTGTGGGCCACACAAGCAGTGACCGCGGTGGGCCACTCTGCTTCTGTGGAGATGGCGCCTGCGGGTCCCAGTCGGGCTACTGGGAAAGGCTCTGCGGAAGGAGGGCTGGGCTGCTGACAGGCTGAGGCCCGGCTAGGGATGGTCCCTGTCCTGACCCTGCGGACGGAGCGTGATGCATGTCCACTTCTGAGGGCGGAGTGGCCGCTCCGTGCCTCTCACTGCGGGACGGGCAGCCGGGTCCTCCCAGAACCAGCTGGTGTGCCAGAGGGGCCGGAGCGCACTCAGCAGTGCATCCCCCTCCCTCCCGCCCCCTCTGCAGAGCGGCCAAGGCGAGCCAGGCAGTGCCAGGCAGTGCCAGGCTCCCTGACCAGTGGGCGCTCACTCCTGGGCCCGCCCCCTTTTTGTTTTTAGTGATCCCAGAAGGCACTGGTGCAGATCTCAGCTGCTTTTAGTTTCTTGTGTTTTTAAAGCCCTGTTTGTTCCAGGAAATTGGGATCTCCTGTAACCTGGAGGCAGTCTCTGTACATAGCGACGGTGGCCCAGGGTCGGTCTGTCTGTCTCTCCCTGTCTGCCTCTCTGCCTCTCTCAGAGTGTCTTGGGGGTTAAATCTGATGGTGTATGTACATGGGAATACTTTACAACTGTAAATGCTGTTCTCTGTATATGTTGCAAGGACAGGAAGTGGGCATGGCCTCAGGCCCTGGGTTCCACCTGACTTATTTATTTTTATTTTTTAAATATATTTTTATTGATTTCAGAGAGAGGGAGGGAGCAAGAGTGAGAGAAACATTAATAATAAGAGAGAATCACTGTTTGGCTGCCTCCTGCATTCCCCCTACTGGGGATCTAGCCCGAATCCCAGGCATATGCCCTGATTAGGAATCAAACTGTGACCTCCTGGTTCATAGGGTGGTGCTCAACCACTGAGCAGCACCAGCCGGGCTAATATATACCTTTTAGTAGCCCTATATTTCTGTTCAATTCTGTTTATGCCAGAGTACAGGTTGTTCTATTATTAGGCATTTTGGTTGTTTCAGTTTTTGCTAATTTAAATAGTCTTTTGTGAACTTTCAAAAAAATGTTAAGATATAATTCACATGCCATAAAATTTACCCTTTTAGCCCTAGCTGATTTGGCTCAGTGGATAGAGCATCAGACTACGAACTGAAGGGTCCCAGGTTCGATTTCGGTCAAGGGCACATGCCTGGGTTGCGGGCTCCATCCCCAGTTGGGAGGAAGCAGCTGATCTGTGATTCTCTCTCATCATTGATGTTTCTCTCTCTCTCTCCTTCTCTGAAATAATAAAAATATATTTTTATAAAATTTACCCTTTTAAAATGTACAGTTCATTAGTTCTTAATATATTCACAAAGTTGTGCAACCATAACTTTGTGAATATATTCTAGAACACTTATGAGTATTACATTTATTTTCCCCCTAAGTTAAGGTGATCAGACATCCTGCTTTTGGCGGGACAGTCCTGATTTTTAACAATTTGTCCCGTGTCCCACGGCGTTTTAAAAAAGTCCCGATTTTTAACGACTCAGGACAAATTGTTAAAAATCGGGACTGTCCCGCCAAAAGTGGGACGTCAGGTCGCCTTACTCTAAGTATACTTCCGAAGTGGATGAATAGGCCAAAGGAGGAAGTCTCCTTTGCTATTCCATCTCCCCAGACTTCTCCTGCCTCCCATGGGATGCCACCCCTTGAGGTTTCGAGGGGCAGCACAGCCGGAGGGCAAAGCGGTGGGTCTGTCCAGCGTGTGACAGAGGCCTGGACTCGGGCAGGATGGAAGCCACGTGTATCGGGCCTTCCTTCCATCGCCCCTCCCACTGTGCTGGTCCATCCTGTTCACATCGATGGACTTAAACCCTCAGCTTTCAACCCAGAAAAGAGTGCTAGGGTCAATATAGATCATTTTCAGAAACACACACACACACACACACACACACACGCACACACAAAAACCCAAAGAGTCCACAACAGCTGGTGGCAGCTAGAACAACCCAGCTTGTTGGCATCTTCAGGAGGCCTCGCCCTCCCTTCCCTGGGCCTGTGCTTAGCTTCAGGCCTCTCCCTGAGAGGCACAGGTTCGGGTCACTGCACTTGAACTCTGAGAAGACAGCCGGCCAGGGGAGGATCAGAGTCTGCAATCTGTGGGCTGCACTGACCGCGGCCCCCCCAGGCGCCTGAAATGAGGAGGAAAGGAAGCGCTCTTTTGCACAGCGGGCAGGACGCCTCGAAGTGCATGCTCCCCGCGGATCGGGAGGGATAAAAATAGGAAAGGGCCACTGAGGGATTTGCTCAGCTAATGAATAGTAAGCAGATAACAGGGCTTTTAAGGACTCTGCTGTGTTCTCGCCATCAAAAATTCCTCTGTTTGCAAAGCTTTATTCTCTTTATACTCTTAAGCCCGCTGCGATTCATTGATTCTGAGACACATTTTCCCCGTCTCTGAAGTTGGATTTCCCACTGGCGAAATGACGGTTGAACTGGCACTCCTTTTCTTCGCGGTTGTAAAAAAATGATTCTTTCACCATCGATGGCAGTTTTGATCTGACGAAATCCAGCATATCCTTCCCATCATTGCCTCCCCAGACCCATCTCAGACCACCAGCTACCTTTTAGGATTTCTTTTTAGAGGAAGGGAGAGGGGGAGAGAGAGAGAGAAACATCAATGATGAGAGAGAATCATTGATCGGTTGCCCCCTGCACGCTCCACACCCAGGATTGAGTTCACAACCGGGGCTTGTGCTGAACCACTGAGCCACACTAGCCGGGCACCTTTTAGGTTTTTTTTTTTCACTGGAGGCCACACCACCTCTTCCGACTCAGCAGCATTAGGACTAAAACCATCCTTGCATTTTTCTCATGAAATATAACTACTCTTCCTAACTCTTTATTCCCACGTGGTGACTGCTGTCCGAGTTGCCTGGCCGGGCCCCTCTCCTGCCGCCCCTGAGCAGTGCCAACACCCGCCGGTGTTCATGGTGCTGCCTGTGTGCCAGGCACGGTTCCAGGCCTGCGTGTGTGCGGGCTCATTAGCCTCCAGCAGCCCTGCTGGGAGCACGTGTGAGACAGCCACTCCCCGGGCCACAGGCTAAGGCATGGCCGGGCGGGAGACCCCACTCCAGGTCCCGACCCTGAGCTGCCTCTCGTCCCTGCTGCTCCCCGCACCCCGCCCGGCAGGCCCTGGCCGGCTGGTCTCCCCACAGCGCCTCTCATGTCTCCACTTTGTAAAACAGTTCTGTGGAGAGGTAGTGATGTGTCACAGTTCACCCCTTCGAGGTGTGCAGTTCAGCGCCTCCCGTATGTTCACGGAGTGGGGCGGCCATCCCCACGACCCACTTCAGAGCATTCTCGTCACCCCCAAAAGCGCCTGCCTCTAACTCCCTCCTCTCCCCCAGCTCCCCGCAGCCCCTGACCTTTCTGTCTCTATGGATTTGCCTGTTCTGAACATTTCACATCAATGGACTGATTGATACGATCTGTGGCCTTTTGTGTTCGGCTTATTTCCCTTAGCGTGATGTGTTCAAGCTTCGCCCATGTTGTAGCGTTTGCCAGAGCGACCTTTTTCACTGCTGCCTAATACTCCGTCCTGTGGGCAGACTACAGGTTAGTCCTGCGTTCGTCAGCAGGTGGACATGCAGGACGCTGCTCTTTGGTGGCTGCCGTGAGCAATGTGGCCATGAGCATCCATGAACAGGTTTTTGTGTGGACGTACGCTTTCCTTTCTCTTGTGTATACGTGACAGTAGGATTGCTGGGTCACATGGTGGCTCTTTAACTAGTTGCGGTCAAGAACTTAAGCTCCTCAGACTCGTCGGCCTAGTTCCCAAGGCCCTTCCCATCCGTCCTGGATGCCTGCTGTTCCCAGCCACAGCCGCTGCTTCTGCCGGGCCAGGCGCTGCCGCCGAACAGAGTGCTGGGGCCTCTGCCCTCTGGCCAGTGCTGTCCACCCAACTGGGATGTGGCCCAGGGACAGTCAGCCCAACATGCATGCCTTGAGACACGCAGCATTTTAAGCAATCTGAATTACGTGTGCACCTTGGAAAACCATGAGATTACGCTCCTTGGCCCAAATGCTCATGTTCTCCAAAACAAATAGAAGTCTTGGTCACCCCGAGCCCACACTCCATGAGGCCCCCCCTGCTGGCAGCGGAGGCATTTAACTGTCCCGGGGGGCGTAAGCGCTGCCCCATTCCCCTCACACCCGCACTGGCCCCCAGGCACAGGGTCCCCGACCATTGACCTGTCCCGTTCTCTGGATCCCTGTTCAGTTTGCTCCTCCGACCACGGTGCTCCGTCCTGAAGACTCTGGTGCTTGGGCCACCAAGCGTCACACTGAGTGCCGTGTCCTAGGGTCGTTTCGGTGGGGTGGAGGAAGTAGAAAGGGAGGTATTTGGTGGCAAGAACTGCAGGTGCTGGGGCCAACTGCCTGGCTCAAACCTTCATCAGCAAGTTACCTAACTTCTCTGGGCCCAGGGGTCACAACATGGCATCCTTAGATATCGGTATGCGAGGAGTGAGCGGTCTGATACCCGTTCGCTGTTATTGTCACAGCTTTTTCCTGATGTCTTCTCAGCAATGTTGTAAGAGCTTTGACGGTCCGAACGCTGTGCTTTTCAGTGGGGGCCCTCTGAGCATGCGGCTGGACAGGGCCGGACGGTCTGCTGGCGCAGGGTTTCTGGCCAGGGATGCCGAACTCCCGGTGAGAAGAGTCAGCACGCCACCCCGGGACACGGCGCCTTCCTGCAGGCGGCTGCGGCCTCCCCTCGCCCACAGCACTGGTCCCCGCGTTGGGCATGGCCTGTGTTCAGGGCGGGTTGTTCCCTTGCCTGGTCCTGCTCACGTCCAGCTGCCGGAGCCGCGCTGAGAGCCGGGCAGGCAGGGGGCTCGGGACCTCACTCAGGCCCTGGTGGCCGCTGAGGGCAGTGTGCTGGCCACGCCACCTGAACAAGGAGCCCTCCTGTTGTTTGTGTGAACTAGATATTGGCTCGATAAAAAGGAACGCGTACAAAATGCACGTAAGATCCACAGGACTGTGGCACAGCAAATACCACATGCCCCCACCCGACTTTGAAATGGCTCTCGTGTCTCCGGGTCCCCCCCAAACTGCCTCCGCCCCGCCTATAGCGCTCCAAACTGCGGTAGACCCGCCCTGGCTCTGCCTGTTGCTGCCATGGCTGCCTGACCCTGACTTGGCTGTGGCATTTGAAGGGCGCGGTGCTGAGTGTGGGCTGGAGGTGGCTGCTTTGTCCCTTCATCCTGCACTCAGGACAGTCTCTGAATAACTGATTCCTTCCCTGTTCCTGACACGGAAAGCATTCCCAAGTTCCTGGAGCAGGTTTCCTGTCGAGGTTCTGTTTCTCTGGTCATTCTCCATCCTGTGTTCAGTATTAATTTGGGGGGAAGCATTCATGTTTCTTTTCCATCAACATGTTTTTTGCAGTTATTCCGTGGTGACGCGTGTCTAAGCGTTTTCTCCGCCGTTCAGTGTCCCGTGGCTGCAGGCGGCGCTCTCAGGCCCTGGGGCAGCCGCGCTGAGCAGAGACCAGCTCTGCTCCCATGGAGCTCCGGGTGTCGCCGGGCAGCGACGGGCGGGCACTGAGTCGGGCAGGAGTGGGCAGAAGGCAGGGCCCACGGGGGTGCCAGAGGTCAGGGACATCTCCCAAAGCTGGTGGCAGCCGAGTGGTGCTGTGGGCGTAAGAACCAGCCTCATCGTGGACAGGGCATGCCAAGCCCCCACCCACCATCGCCCTCCTGTCGGGATGTGAGGCTTCCTCTGTGTGTCCTCGGCCGGGGACAGGGGCCCTGCCGTGTGCTGGAACCTCGCTCTCAGACAGTGGAGCATCTGCACTTGACTCTGACAGTCATAGCTCAGCTGAGCTCCGGAGGAGGGTGGGTGTGTGTGTGTGTGTGTGTGTGAGAGAGAGAGAGGGGGGGGGGGGGGGGGGGAGAACCGCCCCATCGCTGCTGTCCTCACCAAGTCCACTCTTGCCCCGGTGAGCAGGGACAGGCGTGGTGGCTGCCGCGCCACAGGACCTGTGGTGTGAGCAGAAGGGCACGGAGCCTCTGCACCGGGCCGGGCCACAGCGGGCTCGGGCTGTGCTGCAGCCATGCCCAGTCTGTGTTCCTGCCCTCACCTCGTCCACCGCCAACGGGACGTCTCCACATACGTGTCCAGGAACTCACCTGAAACGGAACTCGTGTTTCCCTCCATCCAGCTGCTCCTCGCCGTCTCCCCACCTTGGCGTTGGCTCCACCGCTCTCCTTCACTTAGGCCTTGATTCTAGGAGTCACTTTGGCTCCTCCTCCTTGCTCAGCAGCCCAGTCATCCCTCCCTCTAGCCCCTGTGCTCCCACTAAAGCCTTGTCCCTGGGCTCCTTGCTTCTACAGCTCTTCTCCCCTCACCTCTACAGCTCTTTTCCCCTCACCTCTACAGCCCTCTTCCCCCCAGCAGGCATTGTCTAGGCCGAAGGCGCCTCAGCTTGTCTCTTCCTGCTTGAAACCCACCAGGCGCTCCCCCTGAGCTCAGAAGCAAGTCCGCCCCTCACCTGGGCTCTGGGCCCCTGTCCCTCCCTCTGGCCATAAGCCAGCCAGACTCCATCTGCCTCAAGCTTCACTCTGGAACTGCTCTCCCTGCTGCTGCAGGGCTGACCCGTCTCAGGGGCCTTCCCTGCCTCTGTCACATCTCTCGTTTCTCTATTGACTTACTTTGTCCTCCCTCCACCTCCTTCCCCAGAAGCCGAAGACAAGGACCTGTGTGTGTCTTTGGCGCCTGCATGTTGCTGGCACCTTGGTGCACTCGGTAACGGGAGTGCACCAAGGCGGGAGGCAGACACAGGCACTCAGAGGTCACACCAGTAAGCGGCCTCGGACCGCAGCGCCAGGCCCTCTCCATGAAACTGGGGGCCGGGGCCTGGGCACATGCAGCCTGGCCGTGGCTGGGGCCAGAGCCTTCCCCCCACTTCCTGGAGAAGCCCAGAGCGTGACGCCGTCTCTTAAACGGCTCCAGGGGCTTCCGCATAACCGATGTTTGTGGGCTCTGCGGGCCGGGCGTGGGGTGCGGACAGGCGCCGGGCTGGGGTCTCGGAGCCCCTCGGGACGTGGGCCTGGTGCCACCTTCACGGCCTCCGGTCCTCCCCCTGCAGGTCGCACCAGCTTCTACGAGGAGTACGGCGTCATCCGAGACATGCTGCAGAACCACCTGACGGAGATCCTCACGCTGGTGGCCATGGAGCTGCCCTTCGACGTGGGCAGCTCGGAGGCTGTGCTGCGGCACAAGCTGCAGGTGTTCCAGGCGCTGCGGGGCCTCCGGAGGGGCAGCGCCGTGCTGGGCCAGTACCAGGCCTACAGCGAGCAGGTGCGCCGGGAGCTGCACAAGCCGGCCGGCTTCCTCAGCCTCACGCCGACCTTCGCAGGTGGGCCCCGGGCCGGGCGCCGACTCTCCCCCCTCACACCCCCCCCCCGTCCGGCCACTGCCCAAAGCACCTCCCCAGAGCATCCTCTGGGCAGTCCCCGAGGCTCAGAGCCTTCTGGGAGGGGTGCCCTCAGACGGCAGATAACACCCCCACAGGAGCAGCAATGCTGAGTGCCCGGCACTCCATACACATCATCTCACACAGTCCTCACGGCACCACGAGGCAGTTGTGGTTATTATCCCGCTTAGAAGAGGAAATGTGAGGTTCAGTGACGGCGGGAAACCTGCCGAGGCCCGCAGGCATGTGATGGGACACGGGCAGGGAGCTGAGTCCGGGGACCCTCACCTGGTCCTCAGTCCACCCACCGCCCACCCGCCCTCGAAGTCCTCTGTACCTGCACCCCCTCCCTTCTGCACCTGCTCTTGCTCAGGCATGCCTGAGACCCACCCCCCCCAGCAGTCAGCCTCCCCCACCCTGGGACTCTTCTCAGAGGCTCTGGGTCCGGCCCCCGCCCAGCTCCCCTTCCTCGGGGTCGGTGAGTTTAGGAGAGGCGGTATCTGCGATGGTCCCGAGGCTGTTTTTCTTGCTCCTTTTTCGTCTTTTTTGGTTGGTCCTCACCTGAGCATATTTTTTCATTGATTTCTAGAGAGAGGGGAAGGGAGGGGGAGGGACAGAGAGAAATGTTGATGTGAGAGAGACGCCTTTGGTTGGCTCCTGCACAAACGACCAGGGCCAAGGATCGAGCCTGTAACTGAGGTATATGCCTTTATTTATTTATTCATTTAAAAAATATATTTTATTGGCTTTTTACAGAGAGGAAGAGAGAGGGATAGAGTTAGAAACATCGATGAGAGAAAATCATCGATCAGCTGCCTCTTGCACACCCCCCACTGGGGATGTGCCCACCATGAGGTATATGCCTTTAAACCAGAACTGAACCCGGGACCCTTCAGTCTGAGGCTGACAATCTATCCACTGGCTAGGGCTGGCTAGGGCTGCTTTTCTTTCTTTAAAAAAAAAAAAAATATATATATATATATATATATATATATATATATATATATATTTGTATTGATTTCCAAGAAGGAGAGGGAGGGAGAGAGAGATAGAAACATCAATGATGAAGGGTAATCATCGGATCGGCTGCTTCCTGCACGCCCCACACTGGCGATTGAGCCCATAACCCGGGCCTGTGCCCTTGACCGGGAATTGAACTGTCACCTTCTGGATCGTAGGTTGATGCTCAACCACTGAGCCACACTGGCCTGGCGAGGCTGCTTTTTGAGCACCGCGGGAGGGGAGATCACGGGAGGGGTGAAGGGGGGGTGAGCCTAGCGAGGCCGCGGGTGCCCAGAGCGGGGCTAGGGAGAGGGCTGGCCGCGGGCAGGCAGGCAGGCAGGGGAGGCGAGTGGGCGGAAGCCCGCTTCCGCGCTGGAGTGTCACCTCCCTGTCCTCGTCCCGCAGGCGTCCTCGTCCACGTGGACAACCCTCGCTGGGAGGGCGTCCCCTTCCTGCTGATGTCGGGCAAAGCCCTGGACGAGCGGGCGGGCTACGTGCGGGTGCTGCTCCGGAACCGGGCGTGCTGTGTGCAGAGCGAGGCACGCTGGGCCGCGGAGCAGAGCGCCTGCCTGCCGCGCCAGGTGGTCTTCCACATCGGGCACGGCGCGCTGGGCGGCCCCGCCGTGCTGATGAGCCGCAACCTGTTCCGGCCCGCGCTGCCCGGCGGCTGGGAGGAGGCGGTGGGCCCGCCCGGGCTCCGCCTCTTCGGCAGCCCCCTGTCCGACTTCCACGTCTACCGCCCCGTGCGCGCGCAGGACGCCTACTCCGTCCTCATCTCACACATCTTCCACGGCCGCAAGGACTCCTTCATCACCACCGAGAACCTGCTGGCCTCCTGGGCCTTCTGGACGCCCCTGCTGGACAGCCTGGCCCGCGAGGCCCCCCGCCTCTACCCCGGCGGGGCGGACAACGGCCACCTGCTGGACTTCGAGTTCAGCGGCGGCCAGCTGTCCTTCTCGGTGCAGCAGGCGGAGCAGCTGGTGCCGGGGCCCGGCCCCGCTCCCGCGCCCAGCGACTTCCAGGTCCTCAAGGCCACGTACCGAGACGGCCCGCTGGTCACCGCCTGGGCCGAGGAGCTGATCGCCAAGCTGGCCGGCGACGTGGAGGCGGCCGCCGTGAGGGCCGTGCGGCGCTCCGGCCAGTTCCACCTGGCGCTGTCGGGCGGCTCCAGCCCCGTGGCCCTGTTCCAGCAGCTGGCCACGGGCCACTACGCCTTCCCCTGGGCCCGCACGCACCTGTGGCTGGTGGACGAGCGCTGCGTGCCGCTCTGGGACCCCGAGTCCAACTTCCAGGGGCTGCAGACGCACCTGCTGCAGCACGTGCGGGTGCCGCACTACAACGTGCACCCCATGCCCGTGCACCGGCACCGGCGGCTCTGCGCCGAGGAGGACCGGGGCGCCCAGGCCTACGCCGAGGACATCGCCGCCCTGGTCGCCAACAGCAGCTTCGACCTGGTGCTGCTGGGCATGGGCGCCGACGGGCACACCGCCTCCCTCTTCCCGCAGTCGCCCGCCGGCCTGGAGGGCGAGCCGCTGGTGGTGCTGACCGAGAGCCCCTCGGGGCCGCGCCGCCGCATGAGCCTCAGCCTGCCCCTCATCAACCGCGCCCGGAGGGTGGCCGTGCTGGTCATGGGCCGGCTGAAGCGGGAGATCACCCTGCTGGTGAGCCGCGTCGGCCACGAGCCCAGGAAGTGGCCCATCTCGGGCGTCCAGCCCGCGTCGGGCCAGCTGGTGTGGTACATGGACTACGAGGCATTTCTGGGGTGATGGGGCCTCGCCCCTCCGCTCACTCCCGGGCGGCCTCCCCCTGCCCTCCCCCCTCCCGAGTCCTGCCACCTGCCTGGGCTCCTGGCTCTCTGGACCTGGGTGCCCCAGAAGAGGCCCTGTCCCAATCCCTTTGATGGTCCCTGCCCAGATGTGTCAGACCCAGAGACAGGAGAGGGAGGCTCATGAGAAGGCGTCCCCCTAACGGGGAGACTGGGGCTTCCACGTCAGCATCAGCCTGCCTCATGGCCAGGCTGGGCGCGGGTGCTCCCAGCCTCAGCAGGGAGCCTGGCCCAGCGGGTGCAGGGGCTGTGCCGGGCAGGTGCCGGGACTGCCGGAGCCTGGCAGGTGCAGCCCCTGCTTCCCTTTCCTCCCGGAGCCTCTGCCGTTCGGCTCCCGTCCTGCCCCCGTGGGCTGCCTCTTGCTCCGTGTGTCCTTCCTTCCTCCTCCTCCCAACTAAAGGGCGTCCATCCCTCCTTGGTATGTTGGCTGCCCCCAGACTTCCTGTATAGACAGGAAGTCGATGACAAGAACACAGCCACAGATACTGGGTGCTATAACCATGCCAAAACCCCTGTGACTTGTTCGGGGCCCTTCCTCAGCAATGACCTTCTCTGCGTGGGGGACCCGCCCCGCCCGCTGGGCACACGCTGGGCACAGCCTCAGCCATCTCGGGATCCCTCCCGAGGGCTCTTTCCGTCTCAGGACTCCCGGCAGGCGTTGCTCGCAGGGTCCTCCCTGGCTTACCAGGAAAGATCTCGTCCATCTCTGATGGGGACAGTTCTCTGGGGGAGAGATGTAACACCGAGCGATGCATCGTCCAAATGCTCTGATCGGACCAGACAGGAGCCAGGCCTTTTGCTGGGGCGGCCGCGGCTCCAGCAGCCGGGGCCCAGCACCCTCCTCACACTGCCCCGCCCGTGACCTCCTGCCTGCCCGTCCCTCCTGCCGCTCCCTGCACCGCTGCATTGTGGGAGGCTCGGGAGCAAGGCCAGCTTCTCCGTAGGAATGGGTGAGGTGGGTGAGGTGCTCCGCTCTGGAGAAGCGGGGCCCTCGGGGCCTGTTCTCCCGAGACCCCCCAGGATGTCTGAAATGCTTTTAGAAATCACCAGTGACAGGACAGAGTATTTCAGCTCTCCACCTGGGCATGCCCCCGCTGTGCTGTCAGGAATAAGATGCTTCATGTGACTGCGCCCCGCCCATAGCCTCACTGAGACAGACACGCCATCTGACAGGCTGTCCTTGGTGAGGAGCGCCCCCCCCCCCCCCCCCGAAATCCATTTCTCTGCTTTTGACTGCTCAGACTTTCCTCACGGCCAAGATTTAAAGGACTGTGGCTTCCGTGTGGGGTGGGAGCCTGGGAGCTGGTCCCTGTCCAGGGGCTCCCGTTAAAATCCTGCTTCCGCTAGCAGGCCACCGCCAACCTCGGCAGCACAGGATCAGTGCCGGGTGGGGGTCTCCTCTCTTTCTGGGTCAGTATCTTCGCCTTTTGGCTCTAGAGATGCTAGTGGACACAGGTGGTTGCAGGTCGGTGGCCACGTGGGGGCGCTCAGGCACCATCCCTGCCGTGTTTTGCAGTCTGACCCCCATGAATTCCCCGTGTCCCAGGAATTCCCCGCGTCCTGCTCCCGTTTTTTGCACTCTGCCTCCCTGGGCCCCCAGCTCCCCCCCGCCCCCCCCCCAGCTGCTCCTTGGAAACGTGTTCCTCTGGGGTTGCAACACCAGAGAGGACGGGACCTCCCGTGCCCGCCTTAGTCTGGGATAAAGGGTGAGCCGTCACCACTTCTGAATAACTGTGAGTCACTGCAGCCTGAGCCGAGCATGTCCTGTTCTTAGAGGGCTGCCTGCCCCGAATGCACCCTTTGTCTGGGGGAGTTTGCACACGGGGTTGGGTTGGGGCAAAAATGCCAAAGGTTTCCTTCCACAATCCGCTGCTGTCTTAAAAATCCCCTGGGGGGCCCTGTCAGCACTCACTCTCCCCACCCTTCCCCTTCCCCTTCCCCTCCCTCTTCCCCTTTCCCTCCTGGCCCTGAGCAGGGAAGCTCAGCTGGTGGTTTCCAAACATTTGGGCCAGTGGCCCACAGCCAGAGCCCCGTCTCCAGCTCAGCGAGGTCAGGAGCATGTGCCTCTTTTCTGTCTCGTCGAGAAAATGCTGCTCGTCACCTGCTAACTGAGCTGATCCGTAGTGTGAAAAGTGCTGCTGGAACCCGGCTTTACCCCGTTCCAGGCCGAGGACCCGGCTTGGGAGGGAGCACACCTGCCTGGCTCCCACGGGGACACTGCCACCATGCTGGGCCTCGAACCCGGGCTTCCCAGTCCTGCAGCCTCAGGCCCAGGCCCAGAGCAGGGGCTCCCCCAGCACCTCAGGGCTGCTGGCAGAGCAGGGGGGAGGGGTGCAGGGGTGCCGTCACGAGGGGGAGAGAGCAGTGGGTGGTGAGGAATCTCTCCTCAGAAGCCTGGCAGCGATTGTCCCAGGCTAAAGACTAAACATGCACAGCGTGGTGTCGTCTGATCGTTCAGCACCCTGCGAGGTGACTTTGGAACTGGTGTCTGAAGGCGACAGGCCAGGTGCTCCTCAGCCGGGTCTTAGGATTCTAGCCGGGCCCTCCCAGCCCCGCAGGGCCGCCTCCCTCCCTCCGGAGCCCCGGGTGCTGGTGCAGCGCAGCGAGCGGCGCAGTGGCCTCAGCGGAGCCTGCACAGGCTGGGGCCTCCTGGGGCTGTCAGAGCGGCATCTCTGGAGAAGCCGGTTGCCATGTGTGTCTGGAAAGGAGGGGGACTTCCCAGGCTGCTGTGAGCGGGAATCTGATTGTGATCTGGGAGCCGCGCTCTGCTAACCACAGCCCCCGTCTGTCCCGGTGCTCCTGCCCGTGTCTCTGCAGATGGCGCTTCGTGGCCGTGGACCGGCACTCTGCCAGCTGGCTCCTCAGCTCTGCCCGGGTGTCGCTCCAGAATCAGGCCTGGGCTCCCGGCCTGGGCGCCCCGTCCTCCCCGGACCCAGGGATGGCATGGTGGGAAGGAGGAGAGCACTCATCAGACCGTCTACAGTTCAGTTTTCAGAAACAGTTTTCTCAGTGGAAACACCTACAGCCTCATCAGCAGTTGCCAGCAAGACGCCTGGAGGGGGTGTGGCAGGGACCCGGGTGTGATGGTGACTGTCTTCTGTCCTCTGTCCTCTGTCTGGGGTTGGAAGACGGCACTGGGCTCTGACCAGGGAACCGGGGGAGACCCCTGGGCTGTTACGCGGGGAAGGGGGGATAGCGGGGGGCACGGACACACCTCTGCCAAGCAGCAAGACTGTGGTGCCTTTTTGCCAAGAGAACTGCCCTGTTTTTATGGGAAAACGGGGCCCTTAAAGAGGCCTCAAACAGACACATTCAGTTTCAAAATGACCTTTTCTATGTGAGATGCAACATATATTTTTTTAAACAATAAAACTGTTTTGCCAAAATCCCCGTTTTCCTTCCTTCTGTGAGAGCTGGGGGGTGCGGGCTGTGTGTCCTCAGAGGATGGGTAGGGAAGCATGGAGGGCCCCCTGCAGACACGGGCCAGCCCAGCGGCTGCATCCCGTCTCCCGAGGCCCCTAACCCATCTCACGGGTCGCCCACCTTCCCAGCAGCCCGCGGGGTGGGGAGGACGCCCGCGGGGGGGCGCTGTGCACCCGGGAGGTGCTGGAGAGAGCAGTTCAAGCGGCAGGACCAGGGCCATTGCTCACCCCAACCTGTGCCACCAGGAACGTAGGGTTGTGGGTGGTCAGATAAAACTGCAGAACCGGAAGCGGGCAAGAGGGGGAGAAGGTGGAGGGGGAGAAGGTGGAGACGGGCGTGCACATCAGAGGTACAAATATGACGACTCCCCTGCTGCACGGAGGGTGTCCTCGCTCTCTGGTCACTGTCCCCGCTTCCTGAGGAGAGCAGGTGCCATGGAGGCCCCACCCGGCCACAGAGAGGTCCAAGGAGAGAGGGTGACTGCAGGATCTCTGTTTGCCCGCCTCCGCTCCTGCCAGACCCGCCGATGGGAGCGTGTGAGGTGGAAAGGTATCGCCCAGCTGTGCGGCCCCTGGACTGGCCCGTCCCCAAGGGGGACACAGCGCTCACGCGGCCTGGCCTCCCTGTTCTCAGCGCTCGGGGTCCCCACGCTGCTCCCTGCCGTTGACCTTCCTCCGACTCTGCAGGGCTGGGCTGAGGCTCAGACCCGAGAGCCATTTGCTCTCAGACCTGGCGGACGGCTCACTTCCCACGCCCTCGGGAGGATCTGGGCCCAGGACTCGGGTCCCTGCTGCTCGAGGCCTTTGCAGGACCGCGTGCTGTGAGGGGCAGATCCTGGGCTCTGGGTTCAAATCCTGGTCATGCTGGTTCGCTGGGGAGCGAGCGGCCTGGTTTACCACGGAGCTCTCTCTCCTCCTCTGGTAACCGGGTAAGGGCTGCTTCCTGGGGAGGGGTCAGCGTGGCCCTCACTCTGGCTCCCTCTGCGCTAGAGGCACCACAGGGACGTGTGTCCACTCACCAGGCCTTCCATCTGACACTGCAGTCTCTTGTGCCCCAGGGGCTGTGACACAGGGGAAGAGCTCGGCGCGCAGGAAAGGACAGTCTGGCAGAGAGCTGAGCTGCCGACAGAGCCGGCCCCCAGGTGCTGCCACTGCACAGGAGGGCTGGGAGGAGGGGAAGGTGCCGGGGCCACAGATTATGTTGAGTTGCCAATTGACTTCACACCCTTCCCCTCCCCGGTGTTTATTGAGCACCTACTACGTGCCAAGCACTGTGCTTGGTCTGGGCAGTAATGGGGGCCCAGGACAGAGGAGGACCCAGCCTGTGGCTCGCAGTCCCACCAGTGGGGAAAGAGACAGGACCGGATGGTTGCAGGCTGGCTGGAGCTTCGGGGGTGCCTGGTGGGGGCACTGCCCAACCTGGGGCACCACAGACGTTCTCCAGGGGGTGCTACAGCAGGGAGCCCTGGTGCGGGTCATGGGCACAGCCCAGCCCCCTCCGGGCCTGGGCCTCATCCTC